CACGAGTAAGCGCTGCGAGCGAGTGAGATGTCGAGTTGAACACAAGAAGAGAAATTTCATATCCACGCGCGCCCATGTATTATTTATTTTATCATATAAACACAATAGTCCTTTGACGCAAGAAAAGTCAACTTCATTAGTGAATGAAAATATAAAGGATCGACAATCACCGAATAAAAATCGTAAAGTCCGTCGGCGCTAATGCTCAGAAAGAAAAACTGCGTCGAAACACCACAAAAACAAACAATGGCCGTAATTTTCAGTACACAAAACATCTCGGCTATTGACTCGGTCCTTACAGGTAGAAGAAGTCTTTCAGGTAAACGGCCAAAATCGGCCTGTGGCAAATCTTCCAGTTCTTGATTTTCGTTCTCAGCTGTGAGAAACCACTGAATACGTAACTTTCAGTTTTCTTCCCCCTCTAGGAACGATTGAACGTCATTGTCAGTAAACGATACGGATATTTAAGTGTTTTAGGAGCCATAATCCGAAAAAATTCCCACAAAAGACCTTGGATTGTAAATGGTGAAGGCTTTGCCGTTCATTTATCAACCTTTAAAGTGGCTAGCAATTTCAAACACACGTGAAAAATTACGATATTTTTCACATGTGCTGTTACGGCTTTTCTCAAGGCTGGAAATCCTTGTATAATACCACAGTTTATATGATAAATCGAGAATAATAAATGACACGCGTAGATATAGAATTTCTCTTCGAGTGTTCAACTCGGTAGCTCACGAGTAAGCGCAGCCAAAATCGGCTTGTGGCAAATACGCTTGTTTTTACACATATCATTTCTACACCATCATTTGGGACTTTATGTAAATTACGCCGCCTTTTATAAATTATGTTTTACGTCCCTCAAAGCAATGTGTTGTATATTTGCGTGGACGTGCACCCTTTTCCTACGAGAGTTTCGTGTCTCATATATTCCCTCACTATTTGGTAATTTTTTTGCCTCGTGGTATCTTCACGTTTTATTTTTGCCTAATAATTTGTTAGTATTTTTTTTATAAAATTCGTTTTTCCGTTCCTTACGAATTTCCTTCTTCTTCACGTGCGTATTAAAGATAAGTTAAGTTGAATACCGAGTAAATGTAATTGATTAAAGCGGGCCCATGCCTCTTCAATGTTATATTTGTCTTGGGTAAATTAAAATAGCTGTGCATTTTTTCATACTTGGAACTGATAATATTGAGGGAGGGGGGGGGAGAGTGGTTATTTGTCGGACATTCCGACAGCTTACTTTGTCACCTTATGATTTCAAACTGTCCTTCGTTCCTTTATTTTCAGTATGTTTATGTCCAAGGTGGAAATCCAGGAGTAGACTTTGACTTTAAAAGGGTCGTGCAACCTTCCGACACACCGCCTGAGAATAAATTTGAATGGGTGACATACACGTGGTCCGCCTGTTCCACAACGTGTGGCCAAGGTACAAACTCTTGAACTAGACGCGAGAGATTAAGAACTGCACGCATGCGCGTTTCTGCTCTCTTGCGCACGTGTTTCTGTTGTTCTTACTAAGTCCAGGCAAACTAACTGTTTGACTTTTCATAATCAAGATATACATTGAAATACCTGATAGTGCTCACTGCTTTTACGAGAAACTGAACGTTTAGCTGTAATTTTTTTAAGCTGTGAATTTAAGTGTGCTTACTTGAGCTCGGCAACATAGCGATGATGGCGATACCCTCAACATAGAAGGTGTCACCGTGAATCCAGAAAATCTCACGACATACATTTGGAAGAACCTTTTTTCTAAATTCAGGAAGTGCCAGAGAATCTGGTCACCTCCCATCACAGGTGAAATTCGAGTTAAGTTTAAATTTTCTTTTTTTTAACATTGGGCTGATGTGTTCTACGAAGTGAATTGAACAGGAACTATCAACATGTTGGAGAGGGTCAAGATACTTTACCCTCTCCAAGCAGATACTTGCCTTTTCGATCATCTACCCTCTCATATCCCACCCTTGCTGGTGGAGTAACTTGACGGTACTGGTTTGCGTTTT